TTCCCAACACGGTCTATAAACCACCCAGTACAAAGGAGGCCCGCCGTGACAGCAGGACTTCTCCGTGAAACTCCAATGGACAGACAAGAACTTATGACAGAGGAAAAAACTTGCTGGCGTTTTCAGAAGACCACACCCTCCCCCCCAAAAATAAGAAAAGGTGGAAAAAAGTGGGAAACATCCAAAATGTTCTAAAAGTGAGAAGGAAACTGACACCTTACAAAGAACGTATTCCCATTACTTAGAGCTGGTGTCCACACAGGAACCAGCCAAGGCCCAAAGTGAGGAGCGGGGCTTGAACACACAACTGGGAGAGGAACGTGGCCGCGGGATGGGACAGACGCACACCGTGTGGGACTGAGTAAGTTAACTGATGCCAATCAACAGAAGGTGGAAACCTTTTAACCCTGGAAGGAAGCCATGTTAGAAACTGAACAGTGCTGGTGGATTTCGACTCTGACTTATAAATGCTTAGCAAGTTTTCCCCACAATTCCACTTCAGCCGAATGCCTGGCAGACACTTTTTTACGTGTGTGTGTGTGTGTGTGTGTGTATAAAATCACAATACACGCACGAACACAATCCACATACTTGAAACGACTAATAGCTTCTCAATATTAATGACAGTGTTTAAAAAGGTTCCCAGATGTTGTCATTCGTTCCACTGACATCGCCTTTATTTTTGATCAGTGACTTGTTTTTGATCAGACTTAATTCTGGTCACTTTAGGGCTTTAGACTTTCCTTCACAGTAACATAACCACACTTAGGCATCATGCTTTCTGCTTTCCAAAACGTTCTTTTTAGATTCATCTCACTTAAAATGATTTGTCTGGAATCGCTGAAAGTATGCAATTGGGATCAAAAGAAGTTGCATACTTACGTATGGGCGGCCTAACACCATTTTTCAAAAGCATGAAAACAAAAATGAAAAGAAAAGTCGGCAGTTATCCTGTATCAAAGAGGCTATTCCCTGTAAGACTTATTTCATCCTTTCACGTTACTACTATTATTTCGTTCTAACTGGTAACAGAATACTTGCTAAAGTTCATTAAAACACCTGCTAAAATAGGAAAGTTAAATAGTACTATAATGATGGAGTTTTTGTATCCAGCAACACTCATTTTTAAGTAAAGTCAGGAATGAAAACAAAATTGCCAATCTCCCCTCTGAGCTGCCCTACACAGGACACAATTTCATTGACACAAGTCTGGCACTCGTCTGAGAAAGACCTAGGGCTGTGATGGCAGATCAGGTCTAGAATGACGAAAATGACTAGCTTTCTCCAAACCAGGCTGCTCCTTTTACTTTCGCTTTCAAGTGCTTTAAGACACTCTCAAAACTGAAACAGTCAAAATACTTCAGCATCAGTTTACTAGTCCAGCTTTGAGAGGTAAAAAATGGAAATGCATTGGAAGGCGACCACTGGTATTTTCTTAAGCTTCATCACATTGAATTCATGGGAAGAGCATTATTTTCCTCTTAGTAGGTCTACAACTTGGATGCAGCCTGTGTTTCGCCCTTCTCATAACCCATGGAGTACTGGTCAGAAAGCGCTGAGCTGGTATGATGCACCGGTCTCACAAATTCACTAAGAGGAATGGAGCTGTAACTCTTCCTCAGGAATGGAAGAAATGTCGTTAGACTGAAGGGAGACAGAAGTAAAGACCTGGGGAATGACACTAACCAGGCGTCTTGAGAGAAAGCAAGAAGCAGGGAAGGGGTCCGGGGAAGCCAGAGCTGCCAGTAGAGAACAATGATTTATCTGATGAGATTAGCAGAGTTTGATTAGAGAAGAAAGATGCCTTCTTGACATCACAAAGACTGCAATGTTACTTTAAGATTTTGTTGTAGGAAAACCTGCCTGCCAAATGTGGTCTGTAACAGCACAGGCTAGCCATGAGTGATACAGTGGGAAAATAGCCACTAAGCCAGATTTTATTTGATTTGTACTGATGATTTTTATTAGAATACATGGATCATTGCTTCAACCTTTCCATGTAAAACCAAATCAAATTCAAAAACTCACACATCAGTCACCTAACCTTATGTCACTCCTTCTGCTTTACTCAAGTTGAGCCGCATTTCAGCTGATCTGTCCCCGATAAATCGTTCAGCTACTCCAAATCGTTGGGCCAAATTCTGGGAGGCAAGTGGGACACAAAAGAAACTGCTAAATCTGCAGTTACACATCAGCAAGCGAAAGCAAAGAAACACGGCCAGCCTCCTGGTACAGACTGAAATCAAAGCAGGATACAGCCCATGCAAAACAGGATAAAACCAATTTCTCTTCATTCGATCCAACGTATTGTAATTTATCTTTCAAAGGCCCACACAACCCCTCACAGCTTCTTTTCCTCTCTTTAATTCGAGGCCCCGTGCAGGACTCTGCAGTGACCCTGAAACCAGAGACAAGTCCACAATCACGAGGCACAAGGAGATCGCGTAGATTTTACAAATCAAAACTCATCCTCAGTTCTACTAATTAAAAACATTATCCTCTTTAAGGTCAAAATTTTAAATCTTAAAACACGACATTTTGGGGGAGGCTCTGTGCTATTTATAAAAATTGCTTTGTTAAAGGGGGTGAAATCATGGCCCTGGGTGTCCAAAGGGTAAGGTCCCTTCTCCTACCTCCCCTGTTCCTTTCCCTTTTTCTTTCTGCATTAACCTTTTTCCTTTCATCCTCAGCAACGCTGCAGGTTTGATTTAAACTCTTGAGCCATGATTACTGCCTGGCATCATTTCTACTTGACAGATCAGTTCCATCATCATGATTTCCTTGAGTGTCCCTGAAATACGCATGATCTTCTCTACAGACAAAGGGACAACCTTCCTGGTTGGAGGCCATCAGCAGGCCTCACAGGAAAGTCTTCTAGAGGCTGAGGGTGCACCCATGATAGGCCTCTGAACATCAGGGGCCACCACATCTTCAGGTTGCTGGTGTCACTCTCTGAGGCTGAGACTGGACATAACTGCCAGTCCCCATTTCTCCCTCCCCCCGACCACCCAGGATGCCTACATCTCCCATCCTCCTTCACAGTCACGTGGGGCCACGTGACTGAGGCTGGCCAATAGAATGTGAACCCACGTAACGCCTGCCTTTTCCAGGCCTGGCCCCTACAACCTCTCACGTAATCCTCCACGCACTTTCTCTTTCCTCTTTGTTCAGCCCTATACAAAGAACCTAGTGTGTTCCTCTGAGCCCCTAGGGAGTTGCAGAGCCAAGGCCTGAAAGCACCCAGATCTGAAAGACCACAGGGAGCCGAGCCCACCCCCAGTGCTCTGTGACACCAGGGGCATAGACCCCCTTTGCGGTGTGAAGCTACTAAAGTTTGGGGGTTGTTTGTTCCAGCTATTAGCTTAGCCTGACTAATGCATCCTCTAAAACAGACTTCCATGAGTTCTGGCTCTATGATTCTCTCTTCTGATCTGCAAAGCAAACATACGCAGTTAGAGCTGGCAGGAGACAGAATTGTGAAGCCGGGGAAACTGGTCTTTGAACTCTCCTTCTCTCCCTTTCAGACTTGTTTTCCCCTCTTAGCATTTCCTCCCTCTGAGCACCAAATGTTCTCAGGCTGCTCAGTCTCTTCTGTCTCAAGAAAATCAACGCAACACACATTCAGTAGCCACTTTCCCTCTCAACCATTATCCCGCAGCTGTGAGCGGTGAGCTGCCTGCTGCCTGCGTGATTTTGGAGAAATTCTTTGACATCGCAGAGTCTGTGTATCCTCATCTGTAAAATGGGAATGATGGTGTCCACCCTCCAGTACTGCTGTGATGAGTAGAGATAATTTAGGAAAAATGTCACCCTGGAAACAGGAACACAGCAGAAACTCAAAAAGGAAAAAAAAAGTACAGCTTATTTTTATCACGATTACTATTATTAGCATGATATTTGACAGCAAAAGGGATACAAAATCAATATAAAATAGGGCTCTTGCTGAAACACATCATCCAGATAGGGAGGGATATCATACATAAGTAGAAGGCAGCATCTGATTGCTAACAGAGTAATAAACATGGAACATTAGAGAAAGCAGAGGTACACAGGCTAGAATCATCAGTTGTGAGATACTGGCAGTGCAGGGAGAAGAGAGAAAACACTGGCATCCTGCTGAGCTGCATTCACATTATGTGCGGATCTCGTGTGTAACTTCTCAATTCCACGTTCAATGCTGTCATACTGGTAACTCACAACAGGCATGGCAAGAGCATTTACACCATGGAAATTGGCAACCATTACAAATCAAGGGGTTTTTTTTTCCCTTTGAAAAGCAGATTATTTTTCCTTTTTTTTAATAGTTATAGTTTTAAGTTATAGTCAGTTTACAATTTTGTGTCAGTTTCTCGTATACAGCACAATTCTTTAGTCATACATGAATTTACATATATTCATTTTCATATTCTTTTTCACTGTGAGTTACTCCAAGATACTGAATATAGTTCCCTGTACTCTAC